TAAATGTGTAAATGTCTTTTTTCGGTGGACAACGTTAATGACATTGACTGTATATACAATAAAATTCAGAAATGACAATACATTATATTGTTTTATAATCTATGAAATATAATTGCTGATTTAAAAACCCGAGTCTTAAATGCACTTGATATCACGAAGGCTAGCGGGAAGAGCATCCCATAAAGTGGGCGCAGCAACACTAAAAGACCAAAAGACTCCAAAAGACTTTTTTATTCTTCCTGATGGACGTTTTAGAAAGACACCTTCATTAGAGCGAAGCAAATAGCGCGCATACATTAAAACTTGTTGTAATTGGATGAGCAGAGTGATTTAGAGAGCAGTGATTGGTCAATTCTTGTGATCTTGTAAGCCTTTCACATTTCGATATTTTGTACAAGTTTCAGGTTTTTTGTTACAGGTTGGGTTGTTGAAGACAGACCTAAGTATGCTGAAAATGATGTTTGGCTTGAAGATCGTGTTTTTGGGATGCAGTACTTGAATGGAGTCAATCCAATGATGATTCAAAGATGCGACAAGCTGCCTGAAGGCTTTCCTGTCACTCATGCTCTTGTGGCCAATCTGCTAGATCGTGGACTTACCTTAGAACAGGAATTACAAGTATGTGATAGGAGTATCCAATATCCCATACCGGGTCTGTGAGCCAGCATATTCCAAGCAGATCAGGAGCCCATTACTAGGAGCATCCATGTCCCTTACTGGGTCTGTGAGCCAACATATTCCCAGAACAGGAGCCCATTGCTAGGAGCATCCACCTCCCATACTGGGTCTGTGAGCCAGCGTACTCCCAAATCAGGAGCCCATTACTAGGAGCATCCATCTCCCATACTGGGTATCTGAGCCAGCATATTCCCAGATCAGGAGCCCAATACTAGAAGCATCCATCTCCCATAGTGGGTCTGTGAGCCAGCATATTCCCAGATCAGGAGCCCATTACTAGAAGCATCCATCTCCCATACTGGGTCTGTGAGCCAACATATTCCCAGATCAGGAGCCCATTACTAGGAGCATCCATCTCCCACACTGGGTCTCTGAGCCAGCATATTCCCAGATCACGAGCCCAATACTAGCCCATTCGTACGTAAATGAAATGCTTCTATCATGTTCTGTTTTCAAAGGCAGGTCACGTTTATCTGGCTGATTATTCAATCCTAGAAGGAATTAGACGTAATGGAGAGGGTACAGACAAGGTACGTTACGTCACAGAACCTTTGGTTTTGTTGTACGTGAACAGTGCAGGGGATCTTGTACCCATCGCAATACAGCTGCACACTAAGACCAGTGAAACCAATCCAATATGGACGCCAAATGACTCTAAACTGGACTGGATGTTTGTCAAAATGTGGGCAAAAGCTGCGGATCTCCAGGTTCACCAGGTGAGTAAATATTAAAAGATGGATGGATGGATGGACGGACGGACGGACGGACGGACGGACGGATGGATGGATGGATGGATGGATGGATGGATGGATGGATGGATGATGGATGGATGGATATTATTTATATTATTATTATTATTTATTCATATCTTTGACAGTTTACTATGAATCTTTCCCAAATTTGGCTCGTAGTAGTAATTCTTCAAGGCAAGCAATTACCGCATATCTGTTACCATGGAAACCAGGTCACGTGACCGCCATCTTGGATTTTGTTTTTTAAATCGTTTGTAATCGTATTGAAACTACTTCAAAAGTCCTGAAAATCCATATTCCTTTTGATATTTGCAATACCTATATTGATCTAATTGGATATCTTGGAAAATATATTAAGTTTAATTTTTAGAATATTTTTAATTTTTTGGAAAAAATAGAAAATATTCTAAAAATTAAAGTTAAAATAATTTCCAAGATATCCAATTAGATCCATATAGGCATTGTAAATATGAATAGTAATCTGCATTTTCATGACTTTTAAAGATGTTTCGGTACGTTTACAAACGGCTTGTTTAAAAATCCAAGATGGCGGKCTTGTGGTCACGTGACTTAGTTTCCATGGTAACCAAGGCCCTAAGGTTCCTTCTTTTCACAAAAGACATTAACTTGCCAAGTTTGGGGAAGATTCGTAGAAAACTGGCTATGATATAGCTAATCAGCTTTTCATCTGAGAGCCATGCCTTAATTAATGATGCTGAGCTAATCATATTCTTTAATGTAGATGATATCTCACTTGCTTCGGACACATCTCACCATGGAGTGCTTTGCTGTTTCCTCGTGGCGAAACCTTCCTTCCATCCACCCAGTCTTCAAACTACTGTTTCCTCACATTCGATCAGTCATGGCTATAAACACTTTGGGCAGAAAGGATCTGATAAACAAGGGAGGAATCTCTGATGTCACCCTGAGTATCGGTGGAGGTGGCCATATTCAGCTCATTCAGAAATTCTACAAGAAGTTCACTTGGGATATGTTGGATGTTCCAAAGGATCTTGAGAGGAGAGGACTGACTAACAAAGAAAAACTGCCAAACTTTCTCTACAGGTGAGACAACAAGCTGATTTAGGCCTTAAGAAGAGATAACTAGCTAAAAACTAGTGTGAGCTGCGTCGGTGTTTCTAATGAAACAGTAATGATAAAAGGGTAAATTATACACCGTGAAAAGATGAAAAAACTTACTGACGATTCGGACGCTAGTCCTTTGTCGGAGTAAAAGATTTAGGCCTTGTGAGACTCTAACAATTTTTTGTTTTATTTTTTTATCAACCTGATGCGTTGCATCAATAGTAACAATGACATCATCAAAAGATGTAAAAACTAAACAGTTGCACTGTTGGAAGTCTGTCATCAACGACTTGAAAACTTCCCGTCTCATTCACACCGAATGTCTCAAGGAATACTACCACTACCAGAATCCCTTGCACACTTTCTTTTTGTTCAGTTAATTAGCACCAATTGACTTACAATTCTCTAGCGGAAACATTTATCAGCGAGAAAAAAAAAAAAATTGGTGAAGCCATCTTGCAATCGGCCTACAATTACAAGTGTGTATCGCTACCTTAAGCAACAAGGGCACAACAGCATTAAACGGTTTTCAACTTTTAGTGCGTTTTTATTTATTTTTTAACAGAGAAGATGCTTTGGTATTATGGGAAACGATTTTTGACTTCATACGAGAGATCATGGGTGTGTATTATCACAGTGATAATGATGTACTCGAAGATAAAGAGCTCCAAGCATGGGTCAAGGATATCCATGACAACGGCTTCCCCTCAGTCGAAGATGATGTTGATCACCAGTTTCCTCAGAGGTTGGAAACACGTGATGACGTCATTAAAGTGCTGACATGCGTAGTCTTTACCTGTTCATGTCAGCATGCAGCTGTCAACTTTGGCCAACTTGAAGTTTATTCTTTCATTCCTAATGCGCCTCCAACAATGCAGCTTCCTCCACCAACGAAAAAGGGAGAGACAAATATGAAAAGGATCATGAGTACCTTGCCTTCCAAGTGGCAGACAGCATGGCATATTGGAACGATGCATACTCTGACCCGCTTCGCAGAGGACGAGGTATCTATCTTCAAACTCTTTCTCCCTTAAATATATTCTAACTAACTGACCGAGTTACTGGCCGACCGACTGACCGTTGGACCGACCGACCGACTGGTATCGGTCGGCCGGTCGGTCCGACGATATTGACCAACTAATCAAGCGACTGACCGATAGACCGTCGGACCAACCGACCGACCGACCAACTGAAAGACCGACCGTCCGAAGATTGCACGCAAGTCTTTCTGGAACCAATTACTAATTTGACTTTTTTTTCTACAGAAATTTCTTGGAGATTATTCGGGTGGTTTGTTTGTTGACCAGGATGCACTCAAGGCGATCTCCAACTTCCAGGAGAAGCTTCAAAAGATATCAGATTCCATCAAATCTCGCAATGAAACGCTAGAATGGCCATACACCTATCTGTTGCCCGAAAGAGTTCCTAACAGCGTTGCCATCTAAGTTCGCTTTTTTATAAGCTTTTTTTTATTATTGGATTTTATTAGTTTTACTGGGAATATAATCGAAAGGCAGGCATGGCAGCCATGTTGGTATACATAACAAGACAAGCTAACGAGAAATCTTTGGTTAACGGTACACCAACATGATGGTGATGATGCCAAATGCTAACCAAGAATAGAGGCATGGCAGCCATGTTGGTATACATAACAAGAGAAGCTAACGAGAAATCTTTGGTTAACGGTACACCAACATGGCGGTGATGATGTCACATGCTAACCAAGAACAGAGGCATGGCAGCCATGTTGGTATACATAACAAGACAAGCTAACGAGAAATCTTTGGTTAACGGTACACCAACATGATGGTGATGATGCCAAATGCTAACCAAGAATAGAGGCATGGCAGCCATGTTGGTATACATAACAAGAGAAGCTAACGAGAAATCTTTGGTTAACGGTACACCAACATGGCGGTGATGATGTCACATGCTAACCAAGAACAGAGGCATGGCAGCCATGTTGGTATACATAACAAGACAAGCGAACGAGAAATCTTTGGTTAACGGTACACCAACATGGCGGTGATGATGCCACATGCTAACCAAGAACAGAGGCATGGCAGCCATGTTGGTATACATAACAAGAGAAGCTAACGAGAAATCTTTGGTTAACGGTACACCAATATGGCGGTGATGTCGTCACATGCTGACCAAGAATAGAGGCATGGCAGCCATATGTTGGTGTTTAATGTGTAATATTTTGTTTGGGTCTAAGTTGAAATAAATAAAGGTGAAATTGCAACTGTGACGTGGAGTTCCTTTGTATGATCGAGGAAAAAATTGTATGAGCGTGTAAAACTCAACACGCATGCGTCGTACCGTGATTTTGACGGAAACATGTCTGAGCATTTTGATTGGATAAACAATACACCTGAATTCAAAATGGCGCTTGGCCGGTAGAAAACGAGGCATCCAGGGCCAAATTTACAGTATTTTCTTATAATAGGCCCTTTGTAGTTAACGGTCCGTTTCACCGCTGTCATGTACTGGTGATCAAAATTTTTTAAAATTTATTTTAAATTCGTGATTCTTTTTAGCTAGCTAGTTGTTTTTTTTACCTTAAGTACCAGATACACACCCGCAAACACGGAGAAACACTTAGCAAAAATTCAATTCAATTCGGCAGCAAGAACTTTGGATGACGCTTGCTAAATGTCGACGGAAAACGCCTTCGAGGTTTGCAGCACCCTTTTGTAAAATAAATAATGTAACATTATGTCTAGTACCTCTGAAACAGCTCGCTTCAAAAAAAAAAACGTATTTCTAAAACTCCGGAAAAGCTGAAGCGGCGAAAAGCTAAGGAAACTCTCACAGGGCTGTCAACCCCAGAGATATTCAAATCTGGAGAATTGATAGGGAAGGGACATGACGTCACAGCGCGTCAAAAAGCGCGCGAAAAGACGTCTTTCGCTTTGTAACATTTGATGTGATTGGTTTATTTCTGATTAGATTAATCAGATTATCGCTTATATTACAATGGCCTGCTTGCAAGAACAGTTTATGAGGAACGTTTTGATTTTGTTAGCGATTTAAAATACATGTAACACAAACAACACAAAATAATTGGAATTTTATGGTTGTGAAACGGTCGAGTCTCACAAGAAATGGTCAGCTTCGGGGATTATCCGGGAGATTTGAGACTCTAATCTGGAAACCGGGAGATACGTTCCAAAATCTGGAGACTCCCGGTTTATCCGGGAGAGTTGACAGCCCTGACTCTCAATTCTCTTCAAAAACAAACTCACTTCAAAAACGAAAAAGACAAAATGGCGGCCCCTAAAACAGCCCCATGATTCAGAGCGCGTAATATTCGTTACCAGGTTTCTGCGCAGCCTCGGAAATGCCAATCAGCAACGCAGTTAGATATAAAATGGAAAATAATCTGGAAAACTATTGTTCTTGATGCAAAAAAAAAACAAAAAAAACTCGAAATTCATTAAAGAGTTTTCAGTAAAAACTTGAAAATCTCTTGGAATGCTTTTAGTCGTCCTCTTAAAACGATATAATTTTAGAAATTAATGCACTCATTTGCTGTTATCGTCATTATCGGGCCAAAGTGAATCTTAAAGAAATTAAAAACTTGCGTGCGTGCGTTGTGCAGTTATAAAGCAGGAGGGGGTTGGCAGAACACGAGAGAAGTGTTAGGACGTTGTCTATCACTGGGGCTTTCTGAAAAAAAGAAAAAAAAATCAAGAAAGATATCCCGCCCTGTCTGATATACTTTCGATATACTTGTATTTATATTTGAAACGGCCATAATTTTTGCAAATGGCT